ATGTATAGGGTAGGAAGAAAAATATTGAAATCATAAATCCCTCATGGGATTATATACATACTCTGTACATATATATACAACTACATCAAATATATAATTGTATACCAAAAAAAGTCATACTCATCGATCGAGTGTCTATACATAACCAAAATTGCATAAGAGCAATGTCACCATATATTCGGTCATCTCCAACATGACCTTCCAATATCCAAACAAGTCAATCCTGCTAATTTTGTGTCTTCCTCTCATACAAAGTATGATCATTACAGTTTCAACCACAAGAAAAACAAGGGTAAGCTTGTTAAAAGGATCAACATAGTAATCATAATTAAGCAACTTACAACAATATAACATAGACAACTTAATTTAATACTGAATGCAAATTAACATAACAATTTTCGATTTTTCAACAATACAACACATACAACTTACAACATAGGGCAACTTAACAAATTCATCTCAACATGTTCAGCACAACAATAATATACAACAAATGGGTGTCCAACGCTTATGAGGCAGGGGGCTTCCTATCTTGTCTATGCCTAGTGCCACACTACCTGTGTTTGGCATGAATGAGACAAAGAGTCTCCCACTTTATTGTGCTTAGCGTGGCAAAAGCCCAAGCTTGACCCCAATCAGGAAGAGGGCTTCTACCTGACTCATGCCTGATGCCACTCCACTAGTGTCTAGCGTGGATCCAAGTAAAGATGATTTTCTCTTCTCACACTCGACATCATTCAAACCACATCCAATGAGATTTTAACTCGAGATAATTCTCTCACCTCATTCCCAACACCATCAATCTTGAGCTCGACGTGAGTAAGATAAAGACCCCTTTATTGAAATCACACTTGACACCATGAAGGTGTGCTCAACATGATATAAATTTTTGCACTTATGCATAACTCAATTTGCCTAATCTACTTGAAAACCAACAATTTCTAACATGAAACAAGGAATATAACACATATACAACATGTAGGACACATTTCCAACCTTGAAAACAACATGCAGCCATTATGTCTCCAAAATCATCATATCCAACTCATGAATAACTTCCAAACAACCTAAAACCAATGTACCTCATCATCTTACCTTCCCTAGTCAAAGAAGTCAATAATTAGATGAATTCACTATCAAATTCAATATGCAATTCACAAACAACACAAAGCATCCCTCACCTCTTGTTGATTCAAACCGAGAGAGGAGAAGAGAAGGAAGAACTTGTATGACCTCTGACTTGAGATTATTGGCTTCGCATGCTTTGAATCTCCAACTATCCAAGTGAATTAGCTACAAGAAAAGGAAAAGATAAGGGTTCTCAATTTGAAAGAAAGAGGAGAAAGATTTTGGATCCGGAGAACTTCTCCCTATAATTTCTTATTAAAGCATGAATTTATAAAGTTTGTCTTAAAAAAATCTTATATATCCTTCTTAAAACTGAATCAACTTAACTTTTATTCAACTACCTTAGAGACAACTTAACTTTCAAAATCCTTTGGCTCTAGAGTTATAAAACTACACCATTAACAACAACTTACAACTTAACGTACAATTAACATATAATTAAATCAAACACCTCAAAATTAATAGTGTTATAGGTATAGAGACGGGGATAAGTATGTACTTACACGCTTTGTACCTATACCTATCTCTATCCATGCTTTAAATTTCTAGAAACTTCATTTTTAGACTTTAGTTGAAATTTATGTAATTTTTACTTTATTTTTAAATTTATGTCAAATAAAACTTAATTAATGTATTTTGTAATTTCTACTCTATGTTTAAATTCTTGTTTTTTATAAATATTTTGTTGCAAAAAAGTATATATTTAATTAATATTTGAGTAGGCACAAGACTTGTATGGATATAATCGATACCAAACAAAACGGGAATGAAACACAAATTTCATGCTCATAAGATATGAAAATGAGAAGGAGTATAGAATACGAGGATGAGGATATTGAAATCCGCACCCACCTTGCTCCTGTTGTCATCCTTAAAAATAGAGATTAAGATCATAGAAGCAACTTAATAACAATAGTTGAATGAGTATTATTTGATGGCTTAAGACTATCATCTTTCGCATGTTTCCTAAAATTGCCTATTTCCTCGATTCATATTATATTTTTGAATGTTCTTGACTTAACAACATAAACCACTTCTAAATTCAAAAGAACAATGAAGTACAAATAAAACACTCATTAAGCATGCTTAAATATACAAAATTAAAGATGTAAGATAAAAGTAAATTTTGCACCCAAGTATGATCAAATGCAATTTAGAGGCTGCTATTTTTAGCCCTCAAAGATTGTTTGGTGTTGACATATCAATGAGGAATGACAATGGAGAATTTCTACTAGTAAAATCTGTTTACCTTTAGAGTATTTTCCCAATTGTAGAGGCAAAGACGTTGTCTATTTTTTAGTACATTTCTTAGGTGATTGAGTTGGTTTCCCACATGTTATTTTTGAATTAGATTGCAAATTAATCGTAGATGAAGTTATTGGGAGTTGCACAATTTAGTCTCAACATGGTGTTATACTTAGATATTGCAAATACAAGTTTAGTTCTTTTTTAAACTTTAAGTTAAGTTGTATTAGGAGATAAATAAATTATGTTGCTTACTTTTTAGTTTGGGAAGCACATTTGTATTCTAGTCTCCACATTTTTTTTATTATATGCTTACTTATATTCATGAGTTCATTTATAATGAAACGAATTGATCTTTTATTGAAAAAAAAAAAAAAGATAGAAGGAAGTTTTTAATGTTGCAATGTCACATGTACTTGCAAAAAAAAAAAAAAGTTAAGTTGTTGATACAAAATTTACAATTACACCAAATCTTTGAAAAGAATGATGTATAAATCAAGGAGTTGAGAAAAAAAAATCCTTGATTTATACATCATTCTTAAAAAAAAAAGAAAAAAAGAAAAAAGAGCTAAGTTGTTGATACAAAATTTATAAATATACCAAATCCTTGAAGAAAAGAAATGATGTAAAAATCAAGGAATTGAGAAGAAAAAAATCTGATGTAACAATGTATTAGAATGGTGCTTGAAATGTTCACCTTTCTTAAGCCTTAGTTTGTCTACAACATTAAACCTATTGAAGCTATGCAAAATAGGGGATATTTGTGAACAAAGAAGTGTGAAAAACATTAAAAACTGTACAAATAATCACATCCAACATTCTTTCTCTCATTTATTCCTTTGAGCAGTTTTTGGCTATATATGTTTAGCCTAAGTAAAGCTCAAAACGAGAACTTATTTAAAAGAAGTTAGTAAAAATTATTTAATAATTTTACATTTTTAAACTTAAAAGAAATGACCTAATAAAAGAAAGAGAAAGGAGAAGATGGAATAACCACATGAAGAGATAAAGTATATTTGATGAGAGGAAAGTTTTATTATGAAATATATATATATATATATATATATATTATGACCAATTAATTAAATATCTTTTGATAAATCAATTAAATCATTTGATTTTACTTAAATAGTTTTTTTTTAATAATTTTTTTCTTTAATTATATGATTAAAAAAAGTCAATTTTAAATTTGAGAGATAAAAAATAAATTCATTTTAAATTTAAGCTTAACAGCAACTCGAATGTAATTACTTTGTAAAGTTAATTAACTCTAAGCAATAGTTGCTTTATTGTTATTATTATTTTCATTTAAGTAAATAATGTGACATTTCATATAAGAGCTCCTTGCTTATATAAGCAACTTCTATAATTGGTTGTGTAACCACTTTTTAATTATAAAATAAATAGAAACAAATATAGAGAGAAACATATGACTCGCATTAAGAGTGAAAAGCAACTTACTATTGGATAAAACAAGTGGTAGAGTCACTTCTTGAATATGATGTGGTGTGTTGGATTCACTAAAACAACAAGAAGAAAAAATATTTAAACAACTTTATGAGTACAGAATTGGAGATGATCCTTGTCATAGTAACCTGTACTACAGGGTACCTATAAGTATCGTTTCCATTTCTAATTTGAATTGTTTTCATTTTTCTTTGTCATATTTCGTCCCAAATTAATTGATAATTTAGACCTTCATATTTCCATATGTTCAATTAACATAATTTGAGTGCACTACTAATCTAATATTCATTCAATCTTTACATTTACCCCTAATTAAGGCTTAGCTGTCTCATGACAGCCCCAAGTCGAAATGACTAAAATTAAAATGTATATTTATAAATGAATGATGATGAAAAATATTTTATATGCCAAACAACTTAATAAAATTCTTAATGTAAAAAGAAAATGAAAATAAAACTAACCAGGTATGTGCATTTAATATATGCGCGCATCTGAAAATGTGTAACTTCTCTTTCTAATAATGATTTTTCCTCTTTTTACAAACGATAAATCCTCCCGTTAAAATCCTTCTAAAAGAAAAGACAAAAAAAAAAATTCAATACTTTCCCAAATTTAAATTCATTCTATTATTTTTCTGTAAATACTTACGATTTTGAAAATGGCTCGCTTGTTTAAAGAAAAAAATGCAGAATTTCTATATACTCATAGATTAAAATATATAACTCATATTTGTTTTGGTAATTAAGAGGACACGAATATTTTCCACAAAAGAGAATTATGCTCAAGTCAGGAAATTCTTTTTATAAAATAACTAAAAAATATTCTTCGAATATTCAACGAAGCCATGTATGCATAGCTATATCAAGTTTACCATTTTTAACACATAACACTCTCTTTCATTTTTTTCTAAACCATATCATCGTCTATTTATTTATTTATCTCTCTTATTTGCACGAATTACTGTATATACATATATATTTTTTTAATTTGCAGAAATATAATTTGTGCGTTACAACACAAGCAACTAAGTTTCTAGAAATGTCTTCACAAATCGAAACTAATACTATAGACGAAGAATGTTGCGAGCTTACGTAACTAGGTAAATATTAATTACCAAATCGCGAACCAAACCCCTCCAATGATTGGAAAATTTTTTCCCTTTGGGTTAACCTTTTCAATATAAATCCCAACACAAAGATCTGAATCTCAGCATCCATATCTAATCTCTATCCCTCTGCCTCAGGTAGCTCCTTCCTTCTCACGCTTTCAGACACACCCACATGCTCAGAGCAAGAAACAACCTCAGATCCATCGCTCACAACAACGTTTGATTCTGTCGCGTGTTCGATTCGGTTGAGTTCCGAGAATTCGCAGAGAGAGCCCTTCTAGGCTCTGGGATATGTACCATACGCCATTCGTTCTTCTGATCTTCGGCGGCGAGAAGGTTCAAGAGATCCAGTGGGAGAAGGAACGATAAATAATAATCATAATATTATTGATAGTAATAATAATATTCCTATTTCACCCTCACAAAATTTCCCATCGTCATTCCATTTTCTCATTTGTTCTCAACCTCTTGTAATACTACAACAATCACCAACCAAGGTATTTCAACAGATTTTTGTTTCTCTTTCTAGCACATTATACCTAATTATTAGAATTGTTTTCAAGAGTGTTTTTCAATGAAAAAAAATTATTATCCTAAATATTTGTTAGACTCTAGTAGTGTAGGAGGATCATGGCTGGGAAGGTTTTGAAAGAGTCCAAGTCATTGACGGCGGCGGAAGCGGCGGGGGCGGCAGCGGAGATGGAGACTGCGGCGGTGTCATCGGTGAAGTGCTGCTGCTGCGGTTTGGTGGAGGAGTGCACGCAGGCGTACATAGGGCGCGTGAGGGAGAGGTATGGGGGGCGTTGGATTTGTGGTCTTTGCGCTGAGGCAGTGAAGGAAGAGAGGGAGAGAGAGAAGATAGTGATAACCATGGACGAGGCTCTTAAGCGACACATGAGGTTCTGCCAACAGTTCAACTCCTCCACCCCTCCGAACAACACCAACGATGATTTCATCCTCGCCGTCAAGCAGATCCTGTTCCGCACCTTGGACTCTCCCACCAAAGATCGTTTCATTTGTCGCCCACTTGGTAGATCTCACAGCTGCTTCTCCACCATGCAAGGGGCTGAGACTGAGTGATTCATCCTTCATCTATCATCACAAAACTTGCATACAATTTTATGTTTTATTCTTAGTCTAAATGGAGTTTGAGTTTTACTTCCCTTAAGGTTTTATTTTTTGTTTATCATCATGTTTATGCAGTAGCTCAATGCTCTTACAAGCCATGACTTTCGTTCATCAAATAATATTTTAATATTAATTAAAATTCATTTTAAGAGTATCAAGTTGAACTATCGTATTTCAGAACATGCATTACAACTACTGGACTAAGAGATTTGGTTAACATGGTAAGTATAATAACAATTCAGACTCCTCATTGAATAAGCTAACTTTGATTCTGAAAGAAGAATAATAACATTTTTAATATCTAAGAAATTATTTGTAAGTTTTATTTTTATAATAATTGTTGCAAATAAAGTAGACTTACTTATTGATAAATGATAATGATGTTAATGATAAGTGAATAATATGGTGTAATCATGAGTCACATAAGGCTTGTGTGTGTTAAATTATGAAGCTAAAGTTGTGTGCCTAATTTTGTTGTGTTGTGTTTAGTAAGGTAGGAGTTGAGTTTTTTTTATTGTTTTAGTTTGACATTTGGGATTGAGGTGGATGATTGTTGACATGTACAGGACTCTTCCTTCCTTGACTTCAGTCTAAGTGTCACTTTTGGTTATCTCTTTTTAGTTACTAGTAATGGAATTTCACTTTCTCTATGTTTGGCCCAAATTCAGCTTTTAAAAATTCTTCCAACTTCTTTGTTTTGTATAAAGTGTTTTGTTTAGTAGCTAAAAATCCATGTCATTGAAATCACTCCATCCTACCATTCATCCAAGAAAAACCGCTATACTGTTTAGCGATTAATTTCAGGACATCTAATAAGAGTTGTTTATGGATTTCTTAAACTTAAGAATTAGTTTTTATACAGTTTTATTATTCAAATAATTGATGTGATAGTTCTTAGCTTCTTATACAAGAATAGTTGTTTATACAAGGAACAATTCTTAATAACTGTACGACAAAAATGTGGGGCTTATTTTAAGTTCTTAATAATGGCAAGAGAAAATTTATTGAAGCTTTAAATTTCATGTACTATGGTAGGATCTACTAAAAGTGAGTTAAGCTACATATTTATATTGGAGATGTTGTTAATGAGATACTAGTGTGTCTTTTACTATAATCTGGTTTGTGAATATTACAAATTGCATCCTAAAATTTTCAATGCTGGGAGATCTAAATAGATAAGTAGCATGGTATGGTGAGGTGGTCCATTCTTGTTTATGGAAGAAGTACCAAAACTAAAGCTATGGTTTTAATTTATAATGGCACAGTAGCCTAATATATCATCATTGCAAAGGATAATAAATAGGAGTCTCGTGCTAAATGAACAGAAAAAGTCACATAAATTGTCCTTGGCGACTGATGTTAAGAAATTAATTTCATTTACTACTATGTTTGAGGAGGCATGGATCTGAGCGTGGCAAGGATATATCTGTTGGGAAAATAAATATCTAGTGGGAAGAGGGTCCAATGTTTGTTGTGATGCCATGAAAAAATTGTGTGGCATTATGAGATCGATATGGTAGATGGCAAGATGGGGAATATGGAGGATGCCAAGATTTACAAATGAGAATCAGAAAGAATCCGTACTTAAATGGACCCACTACAGCTAAAGGTTACACACTCGTGATAAGGATATGTAAACCAAATCTTATTCTTATCCCGCTCTCACGCATCACTCCCTTTTCCCTTTGTACTCTCCATGCCATTCAACTCATTTTTTAATAATTTTTTTTATTAAGTCGACTTTTACAGAGATAAAATAATATTTCTATTAGTTACTCTATGATCAAAATCGAGATGAAACTTGATTATTAATTAAAAATATAAATATTAAATTACTTAAACTAACAAATTTTGGTCAACTCAACGTTTAATTATACAATGATTGATCCCAAGTATTACATGTATCATTTTATAAGATGTGTTGTCTTATTTTATATCTTAATAATCATCTTTTCAAATAAAGAACTTGATATCTCCTTCAATGAAATCTGTTTTTATATTTGTATGTTATTTATTTCTAAAAGTTGTAGATATATTTTTCAACTAATGGAATATGTTGTGTAATCTGTTTTGGTGGTATATATATATATAAAAGCATTATATTTTATTGTTCATTGAATATTTAACTAAATTTTTACATTAATATGATATTATCTATTTTAAATATAAATATTTATAAATTTATTTTTATTATTATCTAAAAAAATCTTATATTAATGAAGGACAATCTTGTTTAAATTGAGTATTATTATTATGGATATGTGAAAACTTTTTTTCTAAATATTTGACACAATCGTAGATTTAGAGCCCTTGGTCAATGAAAAGAAATTATTTTTAAAAAAATAAGATTATTATTATCCAAAAACAATAAAATAGTATGAAATGTGAAATAAAATAAAAAAATCTAATTGAACAGTTAAAGTTATACATCGTGATCTTAAACCTAGTAATATTTTATTAGATAAAAATATGAACCCAAAAATATCAGATTTTGGCATGGCTAGAATTGTTGAAATTGATCAAGATCGTGGAAACACTAATAGAATTGTTGGAACATAGTAAGTTTTTCTCACTACAAGATATTTTCATCTTGATTTCACTTTTGTATATTTTATGTTTTAATTAACACATAATTTTTCTATAGTGGTTATATGTCACCAGAATATGCAATGCTTGGAGAGTTTTCTGAGAAATCAGATGTTTTTAGTTTTGGAGTCATGATTCTTGAGATTATTACTGGAAAAAGGAATGTACAATTTTATGATTCACATAGTCTAATGGAAGGCCTCATAGCTTATGTAAGTGTAACATTTTAGATATTTTCAATAGTTATATATATATATATATAAATTGATAGTTGATGAAAGACAAAATTTGACAACGAAATAACAAATTAGAGTAAGTAAATTTAAATATATAAAAATAGGAGGGCAAAATACAAAACTTTTACATACAAATCTATTTTTCTGAAACTAAAGGAGTGTATTTGTATACCTTCACCCCTATGTAGGTATGTTATTAGTTAATACAATTGCATATTCAAACTCAATTTCTCAACCCTGCCTGCTATCTATCCAGTATACTGTAATTTGTATGGTAAATTTTCGTATGATTACAAGTAGAGAGACAATGAGGTGGGATAAATAGTTGTTTCTTGTCACTTATCCTATTTTGGATATTCATTTAGTAGTTATAAAATTTTTATATATCTATAGATATTTACATGAAAAAATGTAAAAAAAATTAAATAAAAATAATGAATAAAATAAAAATACAATTAAATAATTTTAAATATATATTTATATTAAAAAATAAATTTATATATTTAATTAAAACGAATAATTATATATTTAAAGTAAAAATAAATTTAGATAAACTACTTTATATAATTAAGAGATTTTTAATATTTTTAAATTATGAATATAAATATGTTATTATCAGTCTCCATTCATTATTAAATAAATATTTATTTAATTATTTATTTAAAATCTATAATAATTTTAATCCGTGGGTACAATTTTTTTAACATCCTAGACACCTAACAAAAACTTAATTAGTCATTAGACTCGTTACTAATGGGTGATGGTTACAAGACCTAACAAAAACTTAATTAGTCATTACTGATTGGTGAGAAACTTTTTTTGAAACGGATTATTAATTAGTCCATTAGAGGTGGATACATGATGTTAACCAATCAATAACTGAAATATCATTAACTATTGTAATAATGATGTGAAAATTTTTATGTGCAATGATTTTTTTTCCTACTCAAAAGAAAAAATCTGTGACCTTTTTTAAAAAAAAAAAAAATAATAATAAAATAAACACGTTTATTGTGCTTTTTTGGCTTTGGTTATCTAAATAAGCAAAAAAGATGCTGCCAAAAATTTAATGTCTAAATATCGTTTACTCAATGATAATGATTGAAGAAAGGCAACAAAGCCCAAGAAAAAGAGACCAAAAGTAATGACACGATGCACCTAAAAAGAGTGGTTCAAAAAAGTATGAACTCTGACACCGTTCAATTATTTATTTTTGGGGATAATTATGCTTATGCACATAGGTGTACAATAACCAAAAGATACTGAAAAAAGTGGTTATGAAGTAGCAATGAGTACTATTTTACTTTTTACTCTTATAATGGGACCTGGTAAAATGAAATCATATCTCTTAAGTTGTAAGAAGAAAATAAAAAGTGTACAATGGTGCCAAAAAAATACTGATGGTTAATAAGAATCAGACTATCGTTGAGACATGAGTTTGAATCATGATGTTAATGTGAAAACTTTTATAGTATGTAGTCTTAGTCTATTAGTGTTCCTTGGGCTGAGATTCGTCTATCTTCAATGAAACTTCAAAACTCAACTCTTATAATTTTTTAATAAAAAATTAGATATACAGTGGTCTTATATATATATATATATATATATATATAGGGAGCATATCAAGTGAGACGGAATTTATTATGAGAGATAAGAGGGTTAAAATATAATCATTAGATTAATTTCCTCTCACTTGATTAAACCTTAAATTTTCTTTTACTTGATTAATCTAAGGATTATAT